GCAAACCAAACAGCTCACCCCTGGTGCCCAGCAGTTAAGTGGTCAGCCGCTAACCCAAAGGTCGGCGGTTCCAACCCACCCAGGGCTCTGTGGGAGAACGATCCAGAGATCTGCTCCGGTCAAGACAGCCGCCCAGGAAACCCTCGGGGCAGGTCTGTCACGTGGGTCACTGAGTCAGAATCCCTTGACAGCAGCCACCACCACCAAAAACGTAATGGAGGGAACAAAACCAGGTAATACGGAGAGTCGGCACAGAGACCACACCCGAACCCCTAAAAACAAATGACCACTCAGTGCCAACAGCTCTGCCTTCCCCGTCCCTTTCTGCCGTTGGCCAGGGGTGGGCCAGTGGCAGACTTCTCCAGAAAGAATCCTAGGGCTTGAGTGAATACAGTGTTGGTGTGGGTACTGGTTTATTGTGTAACAAATGAGCCCAAGACTGTTAACTATGTTAATAACAAGTGACAGTTGGGGGACCCCGGAGCGCCCTACTCTCTGCACAGCAGCCTGGATGCTGGGAAAAAACAAAAGCTATAAAAACAAGGAATTAGCAAAGGATTCTGTCTCCCCATTTGTCCAACTCTTCCCAGGGCAGGCCTGAAACGGCCCCACAACCAAGGGAATGAGGGGCCCACTTAGCGGCCCTTCCCGAGTCATGAAGCAAGGACCCAGACCCAGGGCCCATGAGGCCAGGGATACGGGGCCCCGCCAGGCCCACCCATGCTCAGCCATGGGAATATGACGCCGCCCGAGAGTCGGAAGGCTGGGGGGCAGGTGAGTACAAGGCGCCAACCATGGGACTGGGTGCCGCGGAGCCAGGGACCCAGGAGCCTCAGTGCCACGGCCCCAGGTCGGTCCTCCAGCTCCCCGGTCCCCTCAGCTCCCAGCGGCGTGAGGTGGACGGGAGCGGAAGAAGGAAACACCAGGCAAGCGACACGAATGAGGCTCTCTCCTTCCCCGCCACTCCCCACCCATCCACTCTGTGGAGTCAGGTCTGCAGGGGAGGTGAGCGGAAGAGGCCAGTGACAGGAGCCGCAGCGCCACCTACTGGGGGCCCAGCAGGCCGGGCTGAGGCTGCTGGAGGACCACGGTGCTCCTACATCAGCCCCTAAGCCAGCCCTAGGCCACCAAGGCCACCACCACCCGGACAAAACCTGCAGAGGCTGTAGCGAGATGATGTGTGCACTAAGCTGGGCAGAGCAAGGCCATGAAGCCACCAGGCCAGTCCCTACATGGACACACAGAAGGCGGCCTCACATGCCTGCCTCCAGGGCCATGTCACAGTGTGGCCAGATGACAAAGGCTTTGAGCAAACGAAGGCAGCCCCTATGATCCAAAGCCATTGTTACCGCAGACCTGGGTGGGCTCACGGCAGGGGTGGGGGTGAGAGGCTGACACAGTCGCCTGGCACAGAGCCAGCCCTCAGCCCTCAGCCCTGTGGCCTGGGAGGCATCTGTGCACGTCACCTGCCGCTGCCCACCCTCCCGCATCTAGGTCCAAACTTCCCGCACAGGGGGCAGGGGGAGGGTAGGGGTCCGGGCCCTTCAGTGACGGGAGCCCAAGCTTCACTACTCAGTCCACTGCTCTGAGGCTCAGTTTCCCCACCGGTAAACGGGGGCTGAGAGGCCTTGGACAGGGTTTCTCCAGTTAGAACAACAAACCCAGTGACTAGAGGCTGGCACAGTGCACCCTTGGTAACCAGGAGTCAGCCCGGCCCCCGGCCCCCCAGCCTGACCACTGAACCCCCATCACGGCCCCCAGGATGCCCAGCCCAGCCCCCCAGACTGACTGCTGGGCCCTCAGCCCAGACGCTGGGCCCCCATCACGGCCCCCAGGACCCCCAGCCCGGCCCTGGGATCCTGAGGGGAAAGGCGGCAGGGGAGGGGCTCGCTGAATGTTTGCTGTAGGGGCACCTGGTGGAGGGATCTCTACCCTCCACACTGCTGGCCAAGAGGGTGCTCCTGGACCCTGCCCTACTGGGAAGGGGGAAGGTCTGTGTCACTCACCCGGCAAGTATGCAAGGGACACAGCTGAGGACACAGGGACGTGTCCAACACGCGCCCAGGAAACCCACTAACTGAGGCCAACCCGACCCTCCAAGTTCCAGGTGCTCAGCCTAGGCTGCCGGTGGCCTGTGCAGGCATCACCCCGGGACAGTACCGGGTGGGGGCGGGAGTCCAGAGGTGCCGGCTTGGGCCTGGGGACAAAACACAAAGAGAAGAGCTGCTGTGTGCTGGCCCCAACCTCAGCACCTAGACCAGCCGCCAGCCACCCCGGAGTCACTGGGACCACAGCGAGCCCGTGGGTGTCGCAGCAGAACTGTGCCCATGGGACCTTGGACAGCTGACTTTTGGGAACGGATGACCGGGCCTGTCCCGGGGTGCCCCTGGGTGGATGGGAACCTCTCAGCTCTCGGTCAGCAGCGGAGCACGGACCACACCACCCACGGGTTCCAGGATCTAAAACAGCCAACCGCCCCACTGCCGCTGGGTGGGTCCCAACTCACAGCGACCCTAGAGGACAGAGCCCAACGGCCCCGTAGTTTCCAAGGCTGGAACCTTTACGGAATGGAGGTCTAGTGACACAGTGCCTGAGGCACCTGACTGCCAACCAGAAGGCTGGTGGCTCAAACCCGCCAGCCACGCCATGCAACCCTGACCAGGCAGTATGCTTCCATAAAGATGCCCACCCTGGACCCACCCTGGAAACCTAACAGACGCCACGATGAGTAGGAACCCACCCAATGGCAGTTGAGTTTTATCTTTACGGACGCCGACTGCTCCACCTTCCCCCAGAGCAGCTGGCGGGTGCCGACCGCCCGCCTCTTGGTGGGCAGCACAGTGCTTTAGCCACTGCACCACCAGACCTTCTTCCAAGCACCTAAGGAGACTGCGGATAAATCACTGAACAGGCAGTGCTAAGTGCCCCGGCTGGGGTCGCAACATGCTCTCTGGGAGGGCAGAGGAGGGGCTCACATCCCCACAGAGAAGGCCAGGGCAGCCAGCGGCCAGCAGGGAGTGCTGTGAACAGGCCCCCCGCTCCCTGACTTCTCCCCTCCACGACCCCCCGCTCCCCGACTTCTCCCCTCCCGGCCCCCCCACCAGCCCGACTTCTCCCCTCCCCGGCCCCCCAGCTCCCCGACACCCAGTGTGGAAAGCTGGGAGGCTCCAGGGAGTCCAGCCTCCACTTTCAGGCCGTGCTCTGGGGCCCGCCTCGGGCTGCAGAAGCTTCGCAGGCTCCCAGGTGCACCTGGGTGAGGGGCGGCACGGGCCCAGGAGCAGGCCACTACCTGAGCCCCTGTGCACACGCCGAGTCTATGCTGGCTACAAATCGTGGGCAAACTGGACTCTCTGGGTTTCCTGCGGATGACTGTCTGTCCGGACTGGCCCAAGGTATCGGGCGGCTGGTTCAGCTAACACACAAGCCTGGTTTGTGGTTACGGGAAGTCTCTGAACTTTCTCCCTGTGCAAGCAGTGACGTTCGAGTCCTGCGGTCGCTGACGACACGCCCCGTAGCCCTCACGTGGCATGACCTGAATTCAGCACCCAAGTCAATAAGCTCCCAAGGTGGCTTTGAAGACCACAGGTCAGAATAAAATGACACTTGGTGTGGGGGGTGTCGTTAAGCTCAGGAAACAGCAGTGAACAGAGCAGGCAGGAAACAGGAAGAGGAAAGACTCCTCGGGAAGCCTAAGCAGGGGGCCCGCTGAGCCCAAGACCCCGGCAGAGCCTCACAGTGAGCACGGAGCCCTCGACAGTCATCGAATGACCACATCAGTGCGGCAGAGAGCCACGTCCTCCTCAGTCGATTCCCGTGAGCAAAGACACAAGGAGCAGAGGGGACAGAAAATCACCCCCCAGTCATTCCCCGGCCGGCCCCACAGTCACTCCTCAGCCGGCCCCACGGGCACCCGCTGATCACCCCTCAGCCAGCCCACGGTGACCCCCCAGCTGACCCCAAGGTCACCCCTAGTCACTGTCACAGACAGGAACCAGGGGTGATACAAGCATCAAGAGGCGATAATCTCACAAAGCAGGTGACTTGCTGAGTCCCTCCCCTCAGGGTCCGGACTCATGAGAAAGGAAACAGGAAGGTTAGCGTGGAGAAAGCCAGCAGCCACCACAGAACCAAGGAATGAGACCACGTCAAGGTCCCGTCTCCCCCAGTATGATACCCCAGACGTTCTCGACAAAAACACACCCTGGAGGGAACACCAGACACACCCACACCACAGGAACGACGGTCAGTGGGCTTCGGAAGTACAAAGTCGCGTGAGACGCGGAGAGCGTGTCACTGACTGGAGGAGGCGAAGGAGCCGCGACAACCAGAGCCTGGCGGCGACACTGGTGCAGAGCAGGGCGCTGGCAGGAAACTGACGGAGGCCAAAGGCAGGGTCAACGCCGCTTCGCCGTTGATCTTATCTCAGTGCTGCGCTGCGGGTCACCCACACGCGACGTTAACGTCTGGGGAGACCACAGTAAGGGCAAGGAGCCCTGGGAGCGCGGCGCTAAGTGCATCCGGCCGGCCGCATACCGCATGCTCCGTGGGAGGAAGATGAGGCAGTCTGCCTCCGTGAAGATCACGGCCCAGAAACCGTGTGGCGCAGTCCCACGGCGCCCTATGTAGTTGCCACAAGTCAGAACAGACCCGACGGCAGGGGTGAGGGTAATGGGCATCTGGGAGCTCGGTATGTTTCTTTTTGGAACTTTTCTGATCCTAAAATTATTTCAAAATATGGTTGGGAGAAAAGCAGAGAGACTTCAGAGGTGTGTGTCTTCCACACAGAACATCTAAGTCCGGACGCGGCCAAGCGCAGAGGCCTCTCACGCCTGAGGGGAGAGAGTATCAGCCATCTGCAAAGGAGGCGCGTGGCAGGCCGACTGGCGGGCCGGCGAGGCACCCACGCCCTCCTATGAGCGATTTTGTCTGTTTTTAACTCGGTGACACGATCTCTGGGCACTGGAGGAGGCCCGCCACCACAGCCCCACCCCCCCACTCACCTCCGGAGCAGGGACTGCTGCAGGCTCTTGCAGGTGGCGAGGGACTCCCCGGTGAACATGTGACACACAACTACGTGCAGGCAGCGGCCCATGAAGGCCAGCACGGCGTCGGGCTGGAGCGTGCCGCTGCGGGAGACCAGGCACAGGCGCTGCAGGCAGGAGCACTGGCTCAGGGCCTGGAAGAACTGCGCGTTGGCGCTGAAGTAGGGCTGCTCCAGCCTGCGGGAGAGAGGGGCAGCGTGAGGGGCTGCTGCAGGAGGGACTGACGGCCACGCACGAGGCCGGGCGCTGGGTGGGCACCGGAGACCCTGGCCCGGGAGGGATGCTGCGGGCTTGCCACAGCCAGCCAGCCATCGACATCCCCAGCTGAGGGTCCCTGGCTCACGTCAGTCCTGCCACCCGCTCAGTGTGCCCGCCCGCACCTCCAGCCCTTCTCAAACACTCGCAGGGGGTTGGGAAGACAAATTTCCATGGGGGCCTGCCCTTGGGGAGCATGGTAATACCCAGGTACACCCAGCACCACCATGGGCAGGGAACGCCTTAAGTGGTCCTTCTAGCCATGGTCTTTGGGACTCCCACCAGGTGACTGGGTGAGACTATGCAAACTGTGAGGTGCTTGTGGCCACCAAGAGGGCTGGCTAGCTGGACAACAATGTAAGTAAGGCATGTGGCACCGTCATGGGAGTGGGAACATGAACTTAAGGTGTGTGGAACCCCAACGTGGGGGACTGGTCAGTTGGGCCATCCCACTAGGTTTCAAAGGCGCTCTGGTGGCGTAGTGCCTAAGGCATGTGACTGCTAACCAGAAGGCTGGCGGTTCAAACCCACCAGCTACTCCTTGGAAGGAAGATTGAGCAATCTACTTCCTAGTGACACTGGCTTGGAAACCCAAGGAGGGGCGCTACAAGTCAGATCCGACTGGATGGCAGTGAGTGTGGGCTTTGGTTTTTGGTACTAGGCTTCAAACAAGAGCCAGGAGTGGAACACCCTCCAGACCTGAGGTCCCTGTGCTGAACCTCCTCGACCCAGGAGACAGAGCCGTGACATCAGAGATGGTGAGACGGTCAGGAGCCACAGCAGAGATGCAGTGGTGGCATAGCCAGGGAACCAGCACAAAGCGAATCCTGGTCCCAGAGCAGAAAGCTGAGTCTCAGGGCGGGAGGCCTGCTGGCGGCACTGAAGGAGTCTGGTGACACTCGCTGGAGCCACGAGAAGCTGAGGGGCTGTGGGTCCTGAGACCAAGGCCAGAGAGGGGCACACGTGCGGGTGCGGCTGAGACGGGACCGTCCCGACTGAAGGACTGTGCTACTTCTGATTCTGGATTGTAACCTGTAACTTCCCTAATAAACCCCATAATCGTGAGTACTGTCTGGGAGTTCCGCACGGCCACTGCAACGAATTATCGACCCAGAGCCGAGAAGTAGAGCAGACTGGGCGGGCAGGCGGGTCAGAACTGGTGAGGAAGTTGGAGGGCGGCAGCACGTGCGACATCAGCCTCTTAGGAGCCAACCTTGCGAGGTCGGTCTTGACCCTCCCTCTAGTGAAGTCAGAGGTCAGACACCCCCCACACACCACCACCACCACCTCACAGCCTTGGGAACCCCAAAGGGTCACCAAGAGTCAGAAGCAGCTCACTGGCGACTTTGTTTGGCTCAGTTTGGTTTCTAGTGGCTACAATGCAAGTGCTCAGCTGCTACCCCAAAAGCGGGCTGTCTGAGTCTACTCTGCCTCTGGGGCAGTTCCACTCTGTCCTCTAGGGGCGCTGTGGGTCAGAATCCACTCCAGGGCAGTGGGTGTGGTTTGGGCTTTGCTTCCCTGAAGATTGACAGCCTTGGAGACCCTGTGGGCAGTTCCACTCTGTCCTCTAGGGGCACTGTGTGTCGGAATGGACTCCACGGCAGTGGGTTTGCAGCGTATATTCTCAACAAAAAACTTTTTAAAAAAATCCATGCTTTATGTAAAAACATCATAAAAATTATTTAAAAAGAATCCTAAAGCAAGCATCCTTTTGTAGACAAGAGTGGGAGATGGGAAGGGAGTACTTGAGCTCCTAGACCACCTGAATCCAGGGCTGCAAGAGCTGCATCCCCCCCACCACAAAAGAGCAGAAAACACCAGACAGAAGGGTGGAGACGGCAAGTCTGCTCCCACATCAGCCACTAGGTGGCGACGCAGGTCTGCGTGACTGCAAAGCTCCCGCTGGAGCCCTCAGGATTGCCAAGCAATGCATGTGCGCATACAAGTGTGCATGTACACGTGTGCGTGTGTCCTGTGTGTGTGCATACACATGCACATACATGTATATACATTTCTGTCTGTGTATGTGTACGTGCTTATGGCTTTTTTTTTTTCCAGTCAGCAGCCATTTCCAGATTTTCTACCCCGATGGCCAAGCGAGGTCCATGAGCCAGAGCTGGGCGGCCGAGAGGTCTGTGTGGCTTCATCATGCACCCCTTCGCCCCCGAAACCCAAATGCTGTGGTCAGGCATGGTCCTCCCAGCTCCCCAAGTGCAGGGCAGGGAGCGGGACAGCCCCGGCAACGGCTGACCCTTCTCATTCAAGCACTACTTCGGGCTCCAACCAGCAGGCACTGGTGGGGAACTGCCACCCTGAGACGGGCTGGGGCCTCACCCGGCTTTGTGCACACGGGAGGCCCCGAGGATCAGGCTGGAAGCCTCTCTGGCAGCCCGCCCCTCCAGCTCCCCTGACCCGCCCAGCACCCAGGTTATCAGGGTGCCTGGCCCTCAGGCCACAAAAGGGTTTGGTTCTCAAGTGGCTCCTCCTGCTTCCACCCACAGATGCTGCCCTAGTTCTGGGCCCAAGTGGCCCGGGGTGACTTGGGGTAACTTCCACCTCTCCTCCACCACCTGCCAGGGCTCAAACCAAGTCTACAGTGAAGGGGCAGGGCCTGCCCGCTTGTGATGCTCTCTTGGCCGAGGCGCCACACAGCTACAATGCCTTGCTCTCGAGCCACCTCCTCCCCACGGGAGCTGCCCTGGCAGACAGGGTGGAGGCAGCTGCTGGCCAGGAGCGGGCGGGCACAGAGCGGGGCGCCACGGGGGCCGAGCGGCTGGGCTCCCTGGCTGCCACTCAGGAAGGTTCCACTGGGAGGTGCGGCAGCCGTGGCCGTGGGGAGGCCGCCTCTCCTGGGCCGGAACACCAGGGCAAAGGGCACCACCGGTCCCCTTCCCTCCCGTCCCAGGCTCGGCTGGCAGTGGACATGGGAACCCGGGAATGAGGTCTGGCTGCGTCTCAGCCATGTTTGTTCTCTACAGGCTGTCTGGCTCAGGGCACACGTAGGATGTGACCAGCTGCTGGCCACAGGAACTGGGTGAGCTCCCGGGCTGGCCTACAGACCCAACGTGTGCCCCAAGCATCACAGGCCTGGCAGCCTCAAGAGCCACCATGAATGGGCACAACAGACAAATCCCAATGGAACGGAAGAAAATGAGGAACAGAACTTGAAACTCCCAGAGAATCCAGACTCCCTGGACCCCGTGTAGCTGAGGCATCTCGAAGTCACTGCCCTGAGTCCTCAAGCCCTGAATCGTGAGCAGCCCGATGTCATGTCTTCACCAAAAACCAGCTGAGCTCCACGTCATCCTCCCACGGTCACAGGGGACATCCACCTCAATTGGCCTAACACCTTGTACAAAAGCACTGTTCTTCATCCTACTTTGGTGAGTAGCAACTGGGATCGTAAAAGCTTGCAGGCAGCCATCTAGATGCAACAATAAGTCTCTCCCCATCCAGAGCAAAGAAGAATGAAGAAAAGCAAAGACCCAGGGAAACAATTAGTCCAAGGGACTGGTACACCATGCAATCCTCAGCCCATCTGATTATGAGACCAGAAGAACTAGATGGTGCCCGGCTACCGGTACTTACTGCTCTGAAAGGCATCACAATAGGAGGTCCCAGATAAAACAGGAACAAAACTCAAAGTCATAAAGAAGACCAGGTTTACTGGTGGAACCCTCAAGACCATGGCCCTGAGACACCCTTTAAGTCTGGAACCAAACTCACCACCGGGACTCAACTTCCAGGCAAACAATGGGCTCTAAGGTGAACTCTAACACCAGGGCGGTGCACACTCCTGAGAAAAATCAACCTGAGGAGATCGGAAGGGCAGCATCTGCCCCGGGAGAAAGCCCGGAGGGCAGGAAGGGACGGGAAAGATGGGCAAACGGAAACGAGAAACACAGGGAGCAGGTGGGAAGAGTCGCTGTGTTGTGGGGATGACAGCGTCAGGCAACAAATCTGTATGAACAGCTGAGTGGAAACTCTGTGAACTTTCACCCAAATCACAATAAATAACTTAAAAAAAAATCCAGAGACTTGCCAATCCCCTTCCGACCTTGATCAATGGGCAAACGTTCTCAATTTTAAAGTTTCCTGCCGCGCCCCCGGCCACTGCCTGACGCTTCCCTGAATGCTCAGTGGCCTCCTGGCAGTGGCCTGCCTTCCCCCTTCCTCCGTCTACTGCCAACGGAACAGCAGCAGCAGTGAAGGACCCCTGAGCCAACCTTGTCCCCCGAAGGCATCCCCGTCACCCCTTAGAGACCCAGGCCCACTCCTGTCTCAGGGCCTAACACAGCTGCGCCCTCTGAGCCCCATCCGTGTGGACGAGGTGCCAGCAGGGACCTGCTCTGTGTGGGCACAGGCCCGGCGTGGGCCTCACAGCAGCGGGGTCAGCTCCCACCTCCCACCTCCCTCAGGTCGGCCCCAGGAGCAGTCTCCAGGAGACACTCTGGCCCTCCCCAAGCCGACCTCTGCCAGTCTCCACCTGCTGGTCCACGCTGACGTCAGAGGGCGCTTCCGAGATGGAGATGCCACCCGCACCCCACACTCCCTACCGCCACCTCACCTCCCTGGGACCCCACCCTGGACCAGCTGGCCTTCTCTGCACAATCGCCCCCGGTCAGCCTTGGCCCCAGCCCCCTGGCTACCTCCTACTCACCTTTTACGAAACACAAAGTGAAAACTCAATTTAAAAAAAAAAAGGAAAGGAAAAGAAATACAAAGTGGGGTCAGCAAGTCCCGGGTGGGACCCTGCCTCCCCCACCGAGCAGCTCTGAGCACCGAGCTCCCGGGACCGTGACCAGGATGAGCTAAGAGGAGGCGCCCTGGTGGTGCCACGGCCCACGCACCTGGCTGCTAAGCATACGGGCTGGCGGTTCGGACCCACGGGCAGCTCCCAGCCCCTCACCTGAGGTCCTTGAGGCGCCTACAGTGCTTGAGCATGTCCGAGAGGGCGGACATGTACACCACCTTGCCCATCATGCCCAGGTTGGCCAGCGACAGCGACTGCAGCTGCTGGCAGTGCAGGCCGATGCTGACCAGCCCGGAGCCCGTCAGGATGCTGGGCAGCTGGGCCAGTGTCAGGTGCCGCAGGAAGGCCAGCTGGCCGATGGCAGCCACCTCGGCGTCCCCGACGCTCTGCGCCCGGCTGCAGGGCGGGAGGGAGTTGCGGATGGCGGGCTCGTTGCGGGGCATGGCCGAGGAGAAGTTGGAGCCGATGAGCTCCAGGCGCTCCAGGAAGGGCACGCTGCGCAGCAGCGACCAGAACACGGAGGCGGGCTGCGGCGTCGGCTGCCCCGCGAAGGGGCCGGGCCCTGAGGGCACGCCGATGCGCACCTTCTTGCCGAAGCCCCGC